CTTCTCTATCAGAGAGCTCTGGTGCCACAATAAACTACAGTTCCCATGATTCCCTAGCACTGAGTCAAGGCAGCTAAAGTGGACTCAAGCTGCATTATTTCTGGCAGTCTGCAAAGGCCCTTAGCTATGTCTGGCTATGTATATTAATGGAAAGACAACTCGGCAATATGAAAAGAAATGGGGGAAAGTAGTTAAATTGTGGGAGGAGGAAAAGGAATTATAAACAATAATAAAAATGTGTACATAATAGAGGAAGAAAGTATAATTACTTTTTTTGAAAATAAATTAAGGAAAAAAGGACTGTGGATAACTGAATTTATGAATCAACTGGTGAAGAAACAATTAAAACTACTGTTATATTACAAGGAAGTTATGTGTAGAATGTTTGAAGAAAATGAATGTATGAAGATGAAGGTATAATGGACGTTGATTTCTTTTATGTTGTATTAAAAACCAAAATAAATAAATTTAAAAAATCATCTAGTTGGTATTACAAAGTTGTTCCTCAACCTTTGGACACACATAAAAGGTATGTAATGAGGGTTCTCCAGCAGCCCTACATTCTTTGGCATATGGTCCAAAACACACTGCAGATATAATCCAGTTTGAGACCGCTTTACTTGCCCTGGCTTAGTGCTAGGGAATCCTGGGAAATGTAGTTTGGTGAGACATTTAGCCTTCTTTGTCCGAGAGCTCTGGGGTCACAATAAACGACAGTTCCCAGGATTCCTTAGCACTGAGCCAGGACAGCTAAAGCGGTCTCAAAACTGGATTATTTCTGCAGTGTGTTTTGGATTCGAGAGAGCAGGGCTCGATTCCCTGTTCGGCCATGAAAACCCATTGAGTGACCTAGGGCAAGTCACACTCTCTCAGCCTCAGGGGAAGGCCATGGCCAACCTCCTCTGAAGAAATCTTGCCAAGAAAACCTCAGGATAGCTTTGCCTATTTTGCCAAGAATACCCCATGGTGACCTTGGGCCAGTCACACTCTCTCAGCCTCAGGGAAAGGCCATGGAAAACCTCCTCTGAACAAATCTTGCCGAGAAAACCCCAGGATAGGTTCGCCTTTGGGTCACCATGAGTCGGAATCGACTTGAAGGCACACAACAGCAGCATGCTGTGGCAGTAATAGGAAAGTGGGGTGGCAATTTAGAAGGTGGGCGCCTTCATTGCAGGCAGCTGAGCAATAGAAACCGGACAGGGAAAGGCCTGAGGATCGCCTATCTCACCGATTGCAAAGCTCGCCGATCGAACGCGCCGCTTTCGATTGCTCTGGCCTTCGGCGCGCGCGATTGGCCGTTTGCCCGAGCCGCCGGCCTGCCGGTTGCCATAGTAACCGGGCCTAAGCAACGGGCGGACGCCGGGCCTCTTCGGAAAATCTAGGCCGCAGTTCTTGCTTCTTGAGAACCGGAGTCCGTCGCTGCCATGCGGTAGCCCTCTCTTTCTCGCTTGACGGTGAGCGCCACTTTTTTGTGGGGTGCGTTTGATCTCTGAACAGGTCCCTCTGCTTTCTTCAAGGGTAGTTCGACAGAGTTCAAACGCTTTGTTGTTGTTGTTCCTGTGTGCCTTCAAGTCCTTTCTAACTTCTGGAGACTTTAAGGAGAACCTGAGGTGGAAAGAGTGTGACTGACGGCAACACTATTACGAGGTTTTCTTGGCAAGTTTCTTCAGATGGGTTTCTTCAGAGGAGTTTTTGCCATGGCCATCCTCTGAGGCTGAGAGAGTGTGACTTGCTCAAGGTCACCCCCCCAGTGGGTTTCCATGGCCGAGCTGGGATTTGAATCCTGGTCTCCAGAGT